CAAAATCATAAAACTTATAAATATTAGACTGGAGAAGATTTCGAAAACATTTATAGCATTACTTTTTATTTTATAATCAAATTTTTAATCTTTTTTTTAAATGTTAAATTAATATATTTGATTAAAAAAAAGATTAATTTTGTATTTTATTGATAAATAATTTTTTTTTCAAAAAAAGGAGAGATATCTCCATTTCTATATATAGTATGCAATCTTTCCTCCAGATCAATCCTTTTTCTTATATTAATACATATTTGTGAATCTTAACTACTTATTTTTATATAATAGTGTTGCTGCTTCCAGTATCATTAATACTTTAACTAATGTCAGCTAGGGAAATGATCATTGCTGACTATGTTGGTAAAGCACTATTCAATATAATGGAAAGGTTGTGTATTAAGAAGAAGGATATATATATGATAAGAATGTTGGGGACGAATTACTAGGAGGAACAATCAATAGTAAATATATACTAATAAATATATATTTAAAACTTCTCTAATAATAATTTTAAAGATATCATTTAGAAATTAATACCTTGAATAAGATTACATTTCTCTGTTAAATAATCTATTGAAAGTTCTTTTTCATTAAATGTAGATAAAGATATCTATAAATTATCGTGATCATTATATCCTTTCCATTTTACATAAAATTGATATTCTTTATGTTCAATTGTATGTTTTATTACTGTATCTTCTCTATTTCATATATATATTATCATCTTTGTTTATATCTCTTATTTAATTTATATCAATAACTTTATTTTTATTCTTATTATGTTTTCGTTTTATTGTTCTACCTTTTAATTATAAAAAATCATCATTATAGATATACTATATGTATCTTCTTTACGAAATTACATTATCTTTATTATTAATTATTATATCACTGAGCAATAATAGGAATTATAAAGATATTGAATTAACTTTAGAAAGTAGATATAATTAGAGTAAAATTTTTAAACTTTAATATTTATTAATTTTTTGTATTTAACTTTAATTTTGTAATTAAGGGGAGTTTAACATTAACTATTAATTTAAGCATAAGTAATAAATCTACCAAAATTAATAAATTAAAAATATAATAGAAAAGATAATTTTAGACATCACTGATGACAATTGGCAAAGTGTATTTAGCAAAGATGAGTTGGAAGAAGTGTCCTTGAAGGGTAGACCTTTGGAAGAGTGTAAGATGCCAGAGGAGTTAGCGTCGACATTCAATGAAAGAAATGGTAAGCTTGTTGCCTCCATATCAACAAGAGAAAACAGAATCGCATACATACCATCAATATTTTGTAGAAGTCACCGTTAGAAGTATTTATGTATGCTTGCAGAATGCCATTAAATCTATGTGATGATTCACTCAAGGTTTGGCTGTCAACAGAGCTGCAAAACGTATCAAGGCCGTTTCTCAAAAAAAAAGACACTCGACATCACTAGCATTCCAGAAGCAGATCAGCTCTACAAGTTTCTTGGCTTTTTTACCACCATCTTTGAGGATACGCTGATTACTGCTAAAGGGTAGAGTAACCAGATGATCAAGGAGGATGTGAAGACGCAAGAAACAATGTACTGATCTCTCTATTTACTATGTATAGCTCCGAAAAGTCAAGCGAAAGCAGTGGAAATGGCAAAAATGCAAAGTGAAAGCTATCAGCTATCGATCCAATTGAAAGGCGTAAGATGGGACGAGGTGTCGACACTGTCTTTGCTTCTGGACCAATCGAGTTTAGCTGCACTGAAATTGGATCAAAAAACGACCAAACAAAAACATTAACAGATGGATCCCTCAAAATGCCACTTGTACTCCAGGATATGTTGCTTGATGTCACTTATGCTCTGTCACTACTCCACCGTTCCCATGTCGTCAGGTACTCTATGAATGGTAAGTCTAAATCAGGTTTTTAAACAAGGGCTGGTGGTTAGGCTCCATTATCTTTTTTTTGGCATCAAACAGGTGGCAAGGTCTCGTTGGTCGATGCAGACATCCCGGAAGGTTTGGTTACAAGAATAAGACGCTTTCGCCCGATTGAACACCCAAGCAACGAGCAAAATTTCATAACAAGAGTAATTCCTCTGCTAAAAATCGCACTCACCAGGAAAAATATCATGGAGCAAATGCTGGCTGCCGTCAAAAGCACACCCCATCCTACCACTACCTCCTTCAAAAGACACTGGTGTCTTCCACCAAATTACGAGTCTCCACCCACTTCACATTCAACAAAAGCATCTTCTCTATCGTCACCAAAACTCTCATCAGCAAACAAGCGTCAGCGCCTGACCTGATCGAATATTGTCATTATCATCAATTTCCTTGTTTTCCATCATTTTCTTCACTTTCTTACATTACGAACTTTATTCTATATCGTGTTTTACATATGTCATTTAAGAAAAACCTGCATCACCTACCAACACCTACACTCAAATTATACCTATCATAAGAGATGCTACATGATCATTCATCTATACTCTTCGCTGTATGTTGTTGGTATCGTCCCTTTTCTGATCAATTTCTCTTACAAATTCGATGCATAAAAATAGGAGGATTCAACGAACCACTCCTCGGCTTCCATCAAGGTAATGCTACTGCATAATGTCTATTTATCTCTAGCTGAGAGCAAACAGATATACTACATTATAGGCTATATTACTCCATCTCATTCTTATTGAGCTTTCCTATTGAACAGTGCTGCTCTTCAATTATAGTGGCTTTTGCTCCTTGCTTTCTTTATCCGCACAGAGTTTCAATCCATAACAATTAATTTAGCAATAAATTGCTAATTAATTTTATTTATGTCTTTCACTGTCAAGCTAGCCTTTGTCCAAGTATTCCTTGGCTAGAGAAGGGACTTACTCACTACTATTGCACTACTACAAGGTTTGAATTAAACATTAAAGGATATTACATTTTAAACAGTTTAAAAAGGTTTATACAAAACCTAAACCTTTAAAGAATTAAAAAAAAAGTTAAAAAAAATCTTAAACATTTAAAAAAATTATAATCTAATTTTTAATTTTTTTATATATATCTTTAAACAATGATTTACCTTTAATCTATAAAACCTTTTAAGGATTAACTCCCGCAGCATTTTGCCATAGTTCTGTTTTCTTCGTAGACCCTTTTTATGTATAGAAGCATCAGCAATGGTACGATTTCTTCTGGTATCAGAAGGCCTTTGTCAGTTCCGTCCTCACAAGGAAGCCCAAATCTGGGATACCACTATTTTATCATGATGCATCAGAGTACTTTGCCAGTAACGTCCTCGCTTGCTGTTTGCTCATGATAGACTACTGTGCATCAGTGGGGAGGGCCTTGTCAGTTCCGTCCTCACAAGATAACCTGAATCACTGTTGCTCGGAGTACCGTTTCTCTGTCTCTCTCTTCCTCTCTTTTTTCTTTATCTATTTCGACACCTTCAATTGTGTGAACAGCATCATCAAATGCCCTTAATTAACTTGACTGCTTCCAGCTAAGTAATATATTGAGCTATCGTACTAATAAAGACGCTTCATTATATTTTTTTCTGTCAGGCTGGACCTTATTCGTATTGAGAATGCTCTAGGATATTGTCCTCAAGGTATGTTATTTATCACAGACAGAAATGGATTCTTTAATTAGTTGTCTAGTCACATATAGTACTCATTTTTTAAACTCTAAACATCCTCATCATCGTCAGTAGGATCGTGCTTGTCCTTTCTGAATCCACGTAGTCTGGGGTTAGATAATCAAGAACAACAAGGAGCAGAGGAACGAGCAGGAATAGCAGTGCTATGCGCGATGCCACAACAGCACCTAATACTCCGCACCCATCATTATCCATGATCAAACATAAACCCGTTACCAGCGAACATGTTGACAGCAAGAGAAGGGAGGAGAGAAGTAGTGGATCTGGAGCTTCAAGGCGCTTTGTAGTTGCTTCCATATATTGTTTTGCAGTGTTATACTATTTTTCGTCTCATCTATTTTTTTCATTTCTCTCTCTCTCTTTCACATATGTAATTTTTTGATTTGATGTGTAATTTATGATAGCATGAAACAGTCTATATCCTCTACTTATCACACTCTGTACGCATGTACATGTGCAGTATCAACCGTTTTGTAATAATATAGCAACAATACAAGCAAATCAATCTTTTTATTTCTCTTTGTTTAATTCTGGAAGCACAAGTTAAACATACACTACATCGTGACCAATCGAGATATAGCTTCTAAATATGATGAATATTACATACCCAAGGCGGTCGTCGTCTTTATATGCTAATAAATGCATATCATTTTTCTTTGCATCAATACGTCATCCGCCAAAGCTTTCGTTCATATGATAAGGGTTGGAAGCGTTCTATCATGTTATTCGAGCAGTACGGCTCGTGTGGTCACTAGGTCTTCCTCATGATGACTTATCTTGTTGTCATAGTGAGGGCGGAATGTTCGTATGTCGGCGACAGCAAGTGGGTCAAGCATTAGCGTATGTAATCTAGCCATGTCCGGCTTGTCAGTGCAAGTGTGTTAGAAAAGACTACTTAAATGTGTTGCAACAAAGCTTTAAGCTGCATAACTGTAAGATGCCTATAGTAACAACAGGTTCGCAACGTGAAACGCTCTTAGATTGCATATAGCTCAAAAGAAAGTGACATGTCTTATTATGTATCGTAAATGAGTCTTTGCCTGATTAATCAACCCCACACTTTTCTTTCTATCTTTGTACACACTCTAGCATAAACACTCTTCTACTAAGCTTTATACGCAGCACTCTACCGTGAGTAACAAAGAAGGATAGACCCTGTCTGTCGAAAGGACAATTGCCAGTTGTCAAACATGAAACTGCCACGATCTGGACCAAGAGATTCGCGGCAAACGCAAAGCCAGAAACTCAGCCCTGTTGTGAGTGGAGAAGAACAATCACTGTCTTGATGATTCAAAAAGCCCCACATGGTTCGGCGCTCGCGTTCCGCAGCACTTTGATTTTCTCTCTTGTAACCACATTCACTTTAGTTGCCATGTCAACAAAAGCTGAACTCGTTACTTCAATCGACGAAGGTAGCTACTACTACTGCTATCAGTATAAATGTTTCAGTAAATAAGCTTGCACTAGTATAAGTACAACAAATAACTGATGTCTCTGGTGATAGTATTCAAGCCTTTGTCGCAGTCAGACAGCAACACCACTGTCACCCTTCAAACGGTCTTGGACCGTCTTGATAGCGTGATTGTCAACTCCAAGGACAGAAATACTTCATTCTGAGACTTCAAAAGCACTTGGATGAAAAGTTTGACAAATAGCGCTCAATCTACCAGCTTAATACTAGTTAGTACTTACTATTCTTTATATTGATCATAGTATTTGCTTTTTGTAGTAGCGAAGCTAATTTTTTCTTCTTTTTTCAAGGTATCTGATCCACATGCATGGGAAACATTAGAGAGAAAACTTGCAATCACTTCGACTGGTGGCTTAGAATTTAACGGTGAAGCCGACTCTTTCGACACTAATACCTCACCAACTACTACCACTACCACTACCTCTACAACAACAGTATTGAAGGTCAAGATCACGGACCAAGACAAGGAGGCGCTGCATGCGAGCTTTGAGAAGTTAGATAGTAGCAAGTTTTGGATGCTGCAGGCGACAAAAATGGAGGCAGAGCGCCAAGGCAGCAGGGCTGAATCAGTCAAGGAGAAGGCGATGAGCTTCACCTTGTTATACAACTACTATGTACCAGTAAGGATCAAAAATCAGGAACATAAATACCCACTATGCATAAACTATATGCTAACTTGCCTGCTAAATTTTTTAGTCCATCAATGTCTTTAAAATTAATATTTTTTTTATTTTTGAAACAATTAACAATATTTTTTAAAGAAATTTTAATCTATACATTATTTAGGTTTCATATAAATGTGTTTAAACTATATGTTTAAACATATTATATCTGGGGCCAGCGGACCGGTAGGGAGCATATCCCTCCTTACATGAGGAGCTTGCAACGATATGTACTCATCAATGAAATTTAAAGCATGGAGGGTGTTATGAAAAACAAATAAAATAGTAGTTTACCACATAATTTATTATTATTAATTAATGCCTAAGGAAGAATTAATAATTTAAGATAATTGTGTATATATATTAAACTTCAAATGTATAATATTATGATAAAGTTTCGAATTTTCTGCAATGCTATAATTAAAATTATGTTTGTCATCAGATCCGATAATTTTTTTTCTTTCAAAAAATTAAATAAAAAAAGCACGTTGTAAATCCTTGTAATCAACTTACAACATTAGAAATAAGAATATAGGACTAATTGAAAATATTATGATAATAAAAGCACGTTGTAAGTCCTTCTAATCAACTTACAACATTAGAAATAAGAATAGGGGACTAATCAGAAATATTATGATACTTTATAAAAAATTTTATTATCTCGATTTCTTAAAATTGAACTGATTATCAACTTTCTAATGTTAAGACTGGGGTCTGATAAAAAAATCGAAGATTTCTTTGAAGAGGGTCTTGACTCTTCTCATTTATGAGAAATCCTTAGATTGATAGTAATCAATCAATAGACTTACATAATCTTGATGATGATAAGTCCCCATAATAAAAGATTATATTGATAATTTATAGTTTAAATTTAGTTATATTAATAATACTAATATATGATACTTAACGTTTCTCACTATTTATATCTATAACCATAATTTTTTTTATATCAGTTTTATTTTATTTATTTTTTTCATTTGCTCTATTTGATTTATATATACAATGTCTACTAATTTATGTTCACTAAGGAATTCAAAATTATTACTTTCCCATAATTTATGATGAGATTGCAGATTAATATTCTCAATAATAACATCTAACCTTTTTAGAGGTGAAACGGTTTCAGCAGCAACAAAATCAGAAATAGATGAAGCACAGATAAACGTTGCCAGCTTTGGCCGACGAATTGATATGCTGGTCATTACTCATACTATAGGAGAAGAAAAAGTCGTGGAGCTAGCTGCGATTGAACATAAGAAGTATGGCAAGAAAGCAGAAGTGATGTTGGAACAACAAAACAAGAACATCTTGACAAACTCGTGTATACTTACACAATTATAAAAAACGATTCAAAGTCGACACTAAACCAGACAGCATTACAAACCCACTTGTAATGGATATATCAGGTACATTTGACTAAAAGACGTATCTACTGAGTAATAATGAACGTTCTATTATGTATGCTAATAAAGGTGTTCAATATATTTCCATGCATGCTAGGACGTAATGCGTATATTCACCAAGTATACACGTACGAAGATGTACTTGTAGCTGCAAAGGCATCAAGGAAATACATCCAATTACCGACAACGTTATGTGAACTGGAAGGTTTTATCAAGCATGGAAACATGTTTACATTAGTGAATTATTGTGTGAGTAGAAATACAGTGTCTTATCCATGCTATGTGAAACTTAAAGAGTGTATTACAATACTGAATTATTTTTAGTATTTATTATTAGAATCATTTGGTTAAAGCTGCTCAAGCAATTTTACCATATTATGACAGAGCGAATAAGAGAATCGTTGAACAAAGTTTCAATAGTGATGGCTCTATCTCTAACAATCAGGCATCTTCCATTTATTTTTCCAAAAACAAGAAAGCCAAGTAATTAGTTTTATGTATTCTTCTTAAACTCCATATCTCAACCCTTTTCATGAATCCTTATATCCATCAAATTTACATTATTTTACAAACAGTAAAAACTTACCACTGGGGAATATGTTTTAGTAATCAGAAGCAGTATGAAATAGCAACGTATGCTACACTCGCTCATTACTGTAACTTTTGTATGGTGGTTTTTAGATCTATTGAGTGGTATATTTTATTCGTAAGAATACAAAAGGAAATAAATACCTTGCAGCCATTTCAAAAATATCTACTTAGACCACAGCTTTTTGTATATGATAAATGAAAACAGAAAAAATAGATATTATCATGTTAACATACATTAACTTCGATTACTTGTTGCTGCCTAAACAAACAAGTTGCTGGACTTATGCCTTCCTTTTTGCATGCCTAGAGGACTAGTATCCTCTGGTTCTCCGTAAGTATGGATGGGATAAAGAATAATAAATGTTTATTGTTATAGTTATAGAAGAAGGATAAGAAAGTGGATGGGATAAAATAATGGATGTGCTATCATTGTATATACTTAATGAAAATAAAAAATAAAGGTAATATGGCGGTTTTGTAAGAAGGAAAAGATCAGATAGGATGATAAGAAGTGATGATTAATTGACTATCGAGGTTGCGTTGCAGAGCGTCCTATGATTGTGCTGTTGCATAAGATCTTGTGCAGGAGGAGCAATTGTCTGACCTGTTGGGCATATTGTTGAGCCTCTTGTTGTGTTATAGTTCAGAGCTGCGTTGTTGCTGTTCTGGTAGGTAGCAAAGAAGTTCCCCTCGTACAAAATCATACCTTCTCTTTATTTTGCTCAGCCACATTACTAGAATATCATGACCAATTCCCGATGAACCATTTTATAACCCTGTAATCATCAAGCAACGTTGGCATTCTATTTAGAGAACTGGAACATATTTAAAGTCTGACAACCATCATTTTTTTAGCCATCCTACAAAACTGAATATTTCTTGTATGCACTATATCGATATACCCAGCCCACTAAACGATAGACTCATCCATCTCCTACAAAAAAAAACATTATCCATCCCACTATCTATATCTTTTTAATCCACTGATCCGACTTGGCGTCATATTATAATATCTGAGGGGAAAAACCTTCAGCGCCATCGTCATGGCTAGGAAGGCATACGTCCAGCAACTTGTTTGTTTAGGCAGCAACAAGTAATCGAAGTTAATGTATGTTAACATGATAATATCTATTTTTTCTGTTTTCATTTATCATATACAAAAAGCTGTGGTCTAAGTAGATATTTTTGAAATGGCTGCAAGGTATTTATTTCCTTTTGTATTCTTACGAATAAAATATACCACTCAATAGATCTAAAAACCACCATACAAAAGTTACAGTAATGAGCGAGTGTAGCATACGTTGCTATTTCATACTGCTTCTGATTACTAAAACATATTCCCCAGTGGTAAGTTTTTACTGTTTGTAAAATAATGTAAATTTGATGGATATAAGGATTCATGAAAAGGGTTGAGATATGGAGTTTAAGAAGAATACATAAAACTAATTACTTGGCTTTCTTGTTTTTGGAAAAATAAATGGAAGATGCCTGATTGTTAGAGATAGAGCCATCACTATTGAAACTTTGTTCAACGATTCTCTTATTCGCTCTGTCATAATATGGTAAAATTGCTTGAGCAGCTTTAACCAAATGATTCTAATAATAAATACTAAAAATAATTCAGTATTGTAATACACTCTTTAAGTTTCACATAGCATGGATAAGACACTGTATTTCTACTCACACAATAATTCACTAATGTAAACATGTTTCCATGCTTGATAAAACCTTCCAGTTCACATAACGTTGTCGGTAATTGGATGTATTTCCTTGATGCCTTTGCAGCTACAAGTACATCTTCGTACGTGTATACTTGGTGAATATACGCATTACGTCCTAGCATGCATGGAAATATATTGAACACCTTTATTAGCATACATAATAGAACGTTCATTATTACTCAGTAGATACGTCTTTTAGTCAAATGTACCTGATATATCCATTACAAGTGGGTTTGTAATGCTGTCTGGTTTAGTGTCGACTTTGAATCGTTTTTTATAATTGTGTAAGTATACACGAGTTTGTCAAGATGTTCTTGTTTTGTTGTTCCAACATCACTTCTGCTTTCTTGCCATACTTCTTATGTTCAATCGCAGCTAGCTCCACGACTTTTTCTTCTCCTATAGTATGAGTAATGACCAGCATATCAATTCGTCGGCCAAAGCTGGCAACGTTTATCTGTGCTTCATCTATTTCTGATTTTGTTGCTGCTGAAACCGTTTCACCTCTAAAAAGGTTAGATGTTATTATTGAGAATATTAATCTGCAATCTCATCATAAATTATGGGAAAGTAATAATTTTGAATTCCTTAGTGAACATAAATTAGTAGACATTGTATATATAAATCAAATAGAGCAAATGAAAAAAATAAATAAAATAAAACTGATATAAAAAAAATTATGGTTATAGATATAAATAGTGAGAAACGTTAAGTATCATATATTAGTATTATTAATATAACTAAATTTAAACTATAAATTATCAATATAATCTTTTATTATGGGGACTTATCATCATCAAGATTATGTAAGTCTATTGATTGATTACTATCAATCTAAGGATTTCTCATAAATGAGAAGAGTCAAGACCCTCTTCAAAGAAATCTTCGATTTTTTTATCAGACCCCAGTCTTAACATTAGAAAGTTGATAATCAGTTCAATTTTAAGAAATCGAGATAATAAAATTTTTTATAAAGTATCATAATATTTCTGATTAGTCCCCTATTCTTATTTCTAATGTTGTAAGTTGATTAGAAGGACTTACAACGTGCTTTTATTATCATAATATTTTCAATTAGTCCTATATTCTTATTTCTAATGTTGTAAGTTGATTACAAGGATTTACAACGTGCTTTTTTTATTTAATTTTTTGAAAGAAAAAAAATTATCGGATCTGATGACAAACATAATTTTAATTATAGCATTGCAGAAAATTCGAAACTTTATCATAATATTATACATTTGAAGTTTAATATATATACACAATTATCTTAAATTATTAATTCTTCCTTAGGCATTAATTAATAATAATAAATTATGTGGTAAACTACTATTTTATTTGTTTTTCATAACACCCTCCATGCTTTAAATTTCATTGATGAGTACATATCGTTGCAAGCTCCTCATGTAAGGAGGGATATGCTCCCTACC